CAATTTATAAGAAGGGTGATGTACAGAGTTGTAACAACTACAGAGGGATAAAGTTGACGAGTCATTCAATGAGGATTTGGGAGAGAGTAGTTGAAGCTAGGCTGAGGCAGGAAGTGGAGATTTGTGAACAACGGTATGGTTTCATGCCTAGGAAGAGTACCACAGATGCAATATTTGCCTTGAGGATGCTGATGGAGAAGTACAGAGAAGGTCAGAAGGAGCTACATTGTGTATTTGTAGATTTAGAAAAGGCATATGACAAAGTGCCAAGGGAGGAATTGTGGTTTTGTATGAGGAAGTCAGGTGTGGCAAAGAAGTATGTTAGTTTGGTGCAGGACATGTATGAGAATAGTACAACAGTAGTGAGGTGTGCTGTTGGGAGGACAGAAGACTTCAAGGTGGAGGTGGGACTACATCAAGGATTGGCCCTGAGCCCCTTCTTGTTTGCTTTGGTGATGGACAGATTGACAGATGAGGTCAGACAAGAGTCTCCATGGACTATGTTGTTTGCAGATGACATTGTGATCTGTAGTGAGAGTAGGCAGCAGCTAGAAGAGAACCTAGAGAGGTGGAGGTTTGCACTAGAAAGAAGAGGAATGAAGGTCAGTCGCAGCAAGACAGAGTACACGTGTGTAAACCAAAGGCAGAACAGTGAAATAGTGAGCTGACTCAGCTTACACACATACACCTCAAAGACAAAACCCACTTCTTTGAGGACAACAATGTACACATTTTGGCCAGGGAAGAAAGATGGTTTGAGAGAGGGGTAAAAGAAGCCATTTGTGTCTACCCAAAAGTTTCACCTCAGTTTCACATAACAAAGAGGCAGGTGACCGAAACCGTTCTGATGGGGACCACAACGACCCATGAGACTCTTAACGACTGTTTACACTTTCACAGTTGAGCCCAAGGCCGCATCTAACAGTGTGGAGCTGAAGTAGCTTTATTCTTTGTCACCTAGAGTATTTATTTGCTGTACTCCCCACCACCAGTTAGAACTGAAGAAGCCTCTTTGATGAGAGGTGACACGTCTTCTTTTAGAAAAATCACGTCCAGTTGCCTAACAGAACTTTTTAAACGTGTAATAGTGAGGTTACAAGGAGCAGAGGTGGTGAAGGTGCAGGAGTTTAGGTACTTAGGATCAACTGTTCAGAGCAGAGGAGACTGTGGAAGAGAGGTAAAGAATAGAGTACAGGCAGGATGGAACAGCTGGAGAAAAGTGTCAGGAGTGATCTGTGACAGAAGAGTGTCAGCTAAGGTGAAGGGAAAGGTTTACAGGACGGTGGTGAGACCAGCCATGATGTATGGTTTAGAGACAGTAGCAATAGGCAGAAGACAGGAGGCAGAGCTGGAGGTGGCAGAGTTAAAGATGCTAAGATTCTCTTTAAGAGTGACAAGAATGGACAGGATCAGGAATGAGGTCATTAGAGGGACAACACAGACAGGAAGGTTTGGAGAAAAAGCTAGAGAAGCCAGATTGAGATGGTTTGGACATGTGCAGAGGAGGGACAGTGGATACATCGGTAGAAGAATGTTAGAGATGGAGCTACCAGGTAGGAGACAGACCAAAGAGGAGATATATGGATGCAGTGAGGGAGGACATGCAGATAGTTGGAGTCAGAGTAGAAGATACAGAGAACAGGGAGAGATGGAAATCAATGATTTGCTGTGACAACCACTGAAAAATGGACAAAGTCGAAAGAAAAAGATTTGTTTCTCTTAAAACGTCAGTATTTTCAATAACATCACATGTTTTTCTGCAGCATTTGCCAATACAGCAGCAGTCTGACCTTGTGCAGCATTTCTATCAGTCCTTTGCACATCACTTTAGTAGTAAGTAAACAACAATTTTTGTCTGTTTAATGTTTAATATATGTTTTAAAAATTCAAAAACCAAAGTCTATGTGCCCTCAGGTCTTTCTGACATACAGATCACTCAGCTCATGGAGCACGTGGAGAAGTTGACAATGACACGATTGCACAAATGGGTTTTCTGCCACGACAGCTGTGATGATGAGCAGAAAGACCTAAATCTTCAGAGAAGAATACGGTAACCACAAAAGAAAAAAGAAAAAAATATATGTGAATGCAATCCTATCATTTGACCTGTGATTATTATATAACACATCTGTAATTTGCAGCTCATTAAACTGGGTTACACCACAGATGTTGAATGTGCCATTTCCTGAGAAAAAAACAGCCGTCACAAGTGACCCCTTTCTGCCTGCTATAACAGGTCAATACACACCACATTACTGTAAAGCACTTACAATTCAGAAAATATATCCATTTCTTTTTGAATATATAGCAGGAAAAATAACTTATAGTATGGTCTCTTTTATGTTTGTATCTTGCAGCTATAATTGAAATGGATGCCAAACGAGCCCCTCAGGACAAACTGGGCTGTGTGTCCAAATGCAGTCAGCATGTCTTTCAAGGTCTCTCCAGCTCAAACGGTGAACCTGCCAACGCTGACGACTTCCTTTCAGGAATGATCTATGTGGTGCTCAAGGCCAACCCACCACGCTTGCACTCAAACATGCAGTACGTGATTCGTTTTGGGCTCCCTCACAGTCTGATGGCAGGAGAGAGCGGCTACTACTTCACAAATCTGGTAATTTATTACCAAACATTTTACGGTTGTACAGTTTTTGTATAACTTAAGCTGTGTGGGTTTTGTAGCAAGTGTAAAATTGTAGATTTATTTTATCTTGGATTTTAAATGGACTCTTGACATGATGACAATGATGATGATTACTTTTGTTGTGAATATGGAGAAGAAAGAATGTCACAGAGTGAAGATTTGTCCAGGCATGGATAAATTCAAACTTGGCATTAACAGGCATGTTGCCAGAGAAATGTTATACTGCTAAGAAAAAAGCTCAAGAACTCAGCTTTAATGGTTTTATTACATACAGAGACATAGACATGCATTTACAATCCCTGGGTTGACAATGCTATCGGGAGCCGGAATTCAAACCTACAATACAATCTGCTAATAACAAGCCCCAGCACTAGGCCAAAGGCAGGTGGCAATACTGTATGCCGACGGTGGGGTAGCCTGTGGCCTTGTGGGAGAGGTTGGTAATCAAATAGCTTGGCACATTCAATTTCCCTGCTCCCTAGGCAGCAATTCAGCGACCACTTCCTCCCAAGAATGATGTTGATGATGTGGACAAATGTTTTTGTGTATATCTATATGTACAATGTCACTAAATGCGTTTCTTCTTCTTGTTTTAGCAATATTCATGTTAAGATTTTATGTCTGTGAAAAGTTCTAACATACTTTAGTTTTTTTTTCCACAGAGTCATAGCAGAAAATCACATCTGATCTCTTATTTTGTCCTCTGTTTTAGTCGTGTGCTGTGGCCTTCATCGAAAAGCTGGATGGACCTGCACTCAACCTAAGTCCAAAAGACTTTGAACGCTACATGCTAAAGCAGCGCGCTCCACCTGTGGGAGAACAGAGGCTGAAAGTTGCCAGTGTTACACAACACCTTCTGGAGGAGCTAAAAGACAGGCAGGAGAAACTGGACAAAGGTGTGGATTTTCTCAACATGCAGCTACAAAAGTGGGCAGAGACGGTTCATTCTCAGCTGGATGACGCAACTGCACAGTTCGCTCTGGTACAAAAAGAGATTCAATCACAGTGTTCACAGGTTCCTCTGCCCTCATCTCATGGTGCGTCATCTCAAGAGGACGAAAAAGGCCAGTTTGTCCAGGATCACCCAGATCAATGTGCAGGTCCAGAAGACACAGACTGTTAGCAATAATAACAAGTACCTAGCACTAGACTTTGTTTAATCATCAGCACTAACTCACACAGTATAGTATGTGAGGCAAACATATTTATAATCAAATGCCAATTTGCTCAGGGTTCTGTAATAGGAAGTTAATTTGTAATGTTGTTAACCATTATTTAACTAATGAAGTACATTCCGGTTTGTGGCAAGTCTTGGGTAAGGCACACAGCTCATCTGGAAAAGGCCTACCATTTTATTAATAACTATTTAATCTTCATGCGTATGCATTGATTAACACAATGTTGTGCCTTTATTTATGTTACTGTAAAATTACAAGGCGCTACAAGAGAAATTACAGACAGACCAGTACAAGCTTGTGTAACATCTCTTATAAATGCTGCTTTTTTAAATATTATATATTATATATGATGCAAAGCAGTATGTAAATTTAATCTACTAATAACTGCATCAGTGTACGGCAGTGTTTCCCAAACTTTTTTTCTGGGGACCCATATTTTAAAAGTCACAAACCTTTGCGACATAAGTCAATAGACATTCATAAACTCCTGGGAAACTTGATGTGAAACAACCCAAAAAATAAAATCTCTTGCAACCCACCTGAGGGTCGCGATCCAGTCTTTGGGAAACAATGGTGTAAGGTACAATATGTGAAGTTTACAACTGTAAAGGTGAAGAAAATGAAGTATTGTGTGGCACTTTTGATTCATTATGATATCATTAAACATTGTAGAATGTATAACTGATGCTTAAGCCAATGTAATATTTTTAAAAACATTAAAAAAATGTTTCTTTATTATTATGAAATGATTATGTCAATGCGTTGTCAAAAACAGAAGCAGAAGTACTTAATTGATTCCTGGTGGCTAAAGTATCTACCAAAGGTAAGAAATGTGTATACATTTTTATATATATAAATCAAACAGTGGCGCTTTGGCACATAGGTAATGTTTCTGTCATTGGTGTGGAACCCCAGGGTTCATCTCCTGGGCAAGATCAAATCCCTGTTAGGGCAGTTGGCACCTTCCAGTAGACTCACCACCCGCAGGAAGGTTTAAGGGAGGTTGGTACGGTGCAGTGTGATTTGGGTGGTGGTCATGAAGACTGCTGCCTCTGCGACCCGGTAACGGCTAAGTGGATGAAAATGGATGGATGGATGGACAAATCAAACATTGAGTCATAAATGTAAGAATAAATGAAGCTCAACAATTAGTTGTCAGAATGTTGTTTCCCCTCTCAAACCTCAAAATGTTTTTCTTGAGACTTACTTGTTCAGTCTAAACACGTGGAAATTTCAAGGAAGACTAAATGAAAATGTTACATCAGGGATACGGGCAACAGTGAAAAGAGATGTCAAATGGGGAAATTAGTTTATATTAAAAAAAGGGACCGTTCTTTCAATCCTTTGATGTTTTATTTTGCGTAAAGTTACCTGTAGAATCGCAGTACCACATCTGAGCGACAGGAGGCAGCCTTCCTTTTCGTTACACTTTAGGCTGCCGGAAATAACAGACAACAGGAAGCGGTCTCAGTCATGAAGATGACAGAGGGAAACAGTTCTGGAAAGTTAGAAATAACAATGGACGATGTTAAAGTCTTAATAAAAAAGAAGGATGAAATTGAGGAGCAAATAAAGGCCTATTACGACATGTTGGAAGACGTAAGTGAACATTCGGTGACTGCCTTAGCAGGAAGCGAAGTTGTTCGTTTAACGTCAGTGTCTGCATTTTCTCTGTTTCACAGCAGGGTGTTGGTGTTTCTGAACCTCTGGTGGATGAAGAAGGTTATCCCAGAGCTGACGTCAATCTATACCAAGTCAGGACAGCGAGACACAGCATTTCGTGTAAGTCTTCAACATGTCGATGGTGTAGTTTTTCTGCTGTGGCAGCAGTTGACGCGTGATGCTGCAAGTCACCTACGTTCAAAAATAATAATCAAAATGGGTTTAATAAACTAGTCCTTGGACAGATTGCAGGTTGATTGTTTGTATAGTGTGTAGATTCACCTACATATACATAATCCTAATCTCATCCTTCCAGGTCTACAGAATGATCACAAAGCCGTTATGGCACAGATTGAAGAAGCACTGCACAAGCTTCATGCGAATGATAAAGCCAAACGTGAGCATGATGAAGAAGAAGCTCGGGTGGAGATGATGGAGCAACAGGTCACCCTGCCTCCTCCATATGCACGAGTAGATGCTGTAACACAAGGCTCACCTGCATGTACAGCTGTGAGTGTCAAGTGTGAATTTCTATCATTGTGTTTTTGAAGTTAGTGTTTACTAGGCTGTGTTTATGTTGTTGTTTTTTTCCAAAAGGGTCTAAGAGTTGGTGATGACCTCATTGAGTTTGGTTCCGTTCACTCAGGAAACTTCCAGAACTTGCAGAATATTGCTGTTGTGGTTCAACACAGTGAAGGGGTGAGCTGCCTTAATTATAAGAATTATTTTAATTTCACTTTATTTTTCCTACTGCTTTTATGAAAAACATTTTACATATGATATTTCTGGTCATTAGAATTATAACCTCTCTTGCTAAAACAGCAGTTTTCATTATCCTGTGCTGTCTTTGTTGATTAGTCTACAGACTTTTAACATGCAACTGCAAATTTCTCTTCTTTTACAGAAACCACTGCGTGTCACAGTCATCAGAGGTGGAGAAAAAGTTCAGTTAAGTCTGACTCCACAGCGATGGTCTGGTAGAGGTCTGCTGGGGTGAGTGCTGCCAAACATGATCACTGTTATGTGTATGTCAAATATGAATCAATGACTGTCATGCAGCTTTAAAGCTAACAAAAAAAAAAAAACTAAATTGGACCAAAATAAGATCCATACTTGAAATTGTAATATATCAGGCATCACACTGAAAGCTGTGCTCTCATGGCTGTGTCCTAGTCATCTTTTGTGGCTGTGCAAATGTCAATTAGTTGATTTGACAATAAGATCAACTCAGACAAGACAGTCTAAAATCAGTGGTTGAGAACACAAACTGATCAAAATCATATTTTGATCAGTTTTTTCGGATCATAGGGCGCAAACGAACGGGTCTACTTTCATACATAAGGCGCACTAGATTATAAGGCGCATTAAGCGAAACAAAACAGTCAACGAAACAATTAAGCGAAACAATCAAGTCTGTGAGGATTCCTCTCGTCGTTATTCAAGTCAGTCTCGTTTCTGTTACTTAGCTGTTCAGTGATGATTCCGGCCTTCGTAAAAGCTCGGACGACATTTGAGACTGATACCTTAGCCCAGGCATCCACGATCTATAATCAGATAGCGGCGTAACTCGCCCGGCGTTGCCTCCCTGTCTTGGTGAACGTGTGTTCGCCTTTTGTCATCCAATGCTCCCAAGCATCTCGCAATTTAACATTAAACGCCCTGTTAACACCAATATTTAGCCGTTGGAATTCTGCGGTTAATCCAAATGATGGAATGATGGCAAGCCACGAATTAGTTTGCTTCACTTTTTGACAATATCGGTGAGAAGGGCGCGAATGGTGTCACATAGTGATGTGCCGTTCGCGAGTGATTTTTTTCATGTGACTCGTGACTCCCGAGTCATATGAAAGATTCCTGACTCGTGACTACCGAGTCATATTAAATATTTGTTCATATTGAACTCACGAATCACTACGAACGAATTACTCTCTATGAACTAATCTTTCACTGTGAACTAGTCTTTCATTGCAAACGAATCATTGTCTGTGAACTAATCTTTCGCCGTGAACTAATCTTTCGTTGTGAACTAACCATTCTCTGTGAACTAATCTTTCGCCGTGAACGGATCATTCTCTGTGAACTAATCTTTCGCCTCGTTCTCACAGATTCGTTTCATTTGTCACGTGAAAGAGCTCGACATTTTGTGTACTTTGCAGACTTTGTCAGCGGAAGCAAACCATGTTGCCTTCAGTATTTAGTGTCGGAGAACCGCAGCCTTCTTTACAACGCCCACGATAGGGCTAAAGCGCCACCTGCTGTAAAACGAATGAAATGATTAATTCAAGATTCGTTCACGACTCGTTCATTTTACTGTTCGAGAGTCAAAGATTCGAATCAATAAAAAGAATTGGTCTTCCCATCACTAGTGTCACAGATCAATAGGGACGGAGATTTGTGGAAAAGGGTAGTGACATAAGTTGGACACAGGAGGGCACTGTTGTTGTTCGCCCCTCCAGAGTCAGGCGGTTGTCACTATTTTATTTCTGAGTGGTCACCGTATTGTTGTTTTGACGCTGTTCCGTGCGGAAGTGCGGATGTTGTTTTGCAGAGAGAGTGTGTGTTTTGCCTGTATCGATAATAAAGGAGAAATAGAGTTCTTGACCACGATAAAATGGCATGACAGCCATGCGTCTGAGTTGTTGGATTTGGGTTATACAACCACACTGTAACAATTGTTGTTGAGCATCTTCCAATTACAAATAATACGAATACAGTACTTATAAGTTGAACCAAGTAAGTTGAATCTAGCTGCATTATTCCTTACTTTCATATCTATGAAGATTCTCAGTCACCCAGGTCATGGTCAAGTTTAAAAAGTTCTGTTAGGCAATTGGATATGAATTTTCTTTGGAAAATTCATATCCAGTTGCCTGTTAGTTGCCTAACAGAACTTTTTAAACCTTATTTTCATATTAATATGGAAACTGAAGCGAATGTGAACTGAATGTGTAGCCTTTAGTTTCAGACCGTTGTGTATTAGAGAAGCAATGACATGAACAGATATACTGAAAAATTAGCTGTGGGACTTATTGCATATTCAAGCTCTAGTTTTATGCTCTTTGTAACTAATTGTTTTTGTCTTCAGATGCAACATTGTTCCAATTCAGCGGTGATCAACACTGAGACGCGTCAGTTCATCAGTTCATTTATACCTGGATGTTTTCAAACTCAGGTTTTCACCAGTTTTGTACCTTGTACTTGATCAGTACATAACCATCAGTTTGATGAAATTCAAAATGACATTGAAGTTACATTGCTTGTATTGGATTTATTACTAAATAATGAGTAAAGGTCTACATGATAAGTTACTTCAAGTTACCTTTCTTTTTATAACCGACTAGAGTCAGAGATTTAGTTTAATAATGTGCAAAAATATTACATCACAACATTTTTTCCAGGTTCAGTAAATTTTCTTTAATCACAGAAATATCCATTTCATCTGTTATTATGAAAATGAACAACAGAACTTATGTATACACATTGTTGTAGAGCAAAACAAATGAAATAAGTGTAAATATAATGAAATGTGTTGAGGTAAACAGGATAAAACTGTAATTATCAAAATATTATGGGAACAAGTGTCAGTTTCCATCTATGTCTTCTGAAAGTTTACGTTTTTCATCTAGTTGTTCAATTTTCAAACTTTTTATAAATCTCATACGAACAGAGCACAAACTACCTTTAAAAAAATCATACAAGAATCAAAAGTTACATCTGCTGCTTGAGCTTCTTCTTCTTGGGCTTGACCATCTGTCGCAGCTGGATTTTGAAGGCAGTCCTAGAAAAAAATATTAAATCACAATGTTAACAATATTGAAGTAGAATCACAATAAGTATAATCACAGATATTTACTGCTACTCTTTTTGGTTAGACTAATGTATTAAAGCTTAAATGAACACTTTAAAGGAACTCACTCGCAGGTTGTACAGATGGGGCTAAATGTGCAGAAAACTTAAAAGATAAGGAAGAAGTGTCAAACACATTAGAACTGCTCCAAAAACACTGGTTTAATTAAATTCCGATTGCAACTCACTGGACAGACAGACGGAACACACGTAACCAATCTCGATGAGGTTGCGATGACAGAAACACGCCGCTCTGTAATCCACATGTGCTGTTGGTGGCAACACTAGCTGTGACCGCTGCTCAGAGTCGGCAAGGAAAACCCACTGGTCAGAAAAAAAAAGTCATCAGCAACATGAGGAGATTAATCTGAAGATATATTTAAGAATAACTGCAGTTGTGCTTGAAGAAAATAAGGTGCTGGTACCAAAAGATACTGGGCCAAGGCAACTTTCTGTGGTAACTTGAGGTACAGTCCTCCTGTTATATCACATGCCTGAAAAAAAGTAAAGTAGGATGACAATATTTTATTGCTTCAAAACTTAATTCAAAATGGCTAATTATATCAAACAACAAAATTACAATTTAAAATAAATGCAATTCTCCCCACTGTGGGACAGATAAAAAATATTGAAATTGAAATTAATTTGTCTTGGTGTGTCCCTTTGACCTTAGCTCACCGCCCTCCTACCGGGTCCTATCCACCCCCACCCCACTTTGTGAACCATTAATTTATGGCTTAATGGCATTTACAATTGTTGCTTACAAGAAAACTAGCACAGAATGGTTGATGGTGAAAAGAAAACTAACCTGAACCTTGGTGATTTCTGTGGATCAGTATCATTATTTAAATAATTGAAGAAGTCATTCATAAAAAAAACCCAAAGGTGCAAAGAAGAAAAAACTACCTGCTGAAGGAGACCTGAGTCTGATGCCAACACACAGGCGTCAATCAAGATGTTCTGTCATTTGTAAGGGAAAGAAAAGTTGATTTAATGTACAATGCACATTTTAAGTATAATATACAAATCAGTTAATATGCTCATAAGCACATAAAATACCTGTTTCTGAGCAGCAAAAATGCCATTCATAAAGTTCATGTACTGCAGGGCACAGTCTTCAGCTGCTTTTATCACCTGTTCAGAAACGTAGAAAAGCAATTAGTAATAAAGTTCCTTGAGGGAAAATTGCAGCATTAATTAAAGAGAAGTGTGTGCATCTCACCAATATTCTTGATTTCATCTCCTGCCCAACTAAACAAAAACAGTAACACAATTAGAATTTGATTATGGGTACTGTAACACACTCTTAAGCCGAACTAACAACACAATTATATAAACCAGTATTTCAGTGAATTATTACCTTCCAGCTCTTTAGAAACCCGGTGAATATCTGAATTTTTAAACATTAAAGAAACATTGGTGAAAAATGATTATGCTTTAAAGTGGGTCTTTAAACAACTGTAATAAAATGTTTTGTCTACTTCACAAAACAAATAAATTAGAGTTGATGGGTTTTCAGCAGAAAGGATACAGCAGAGAGCTTTGGCAAGAGATGCAGCCAACAGAGTGTCTGTGGAGTTTCCCCTCACTTCAGCTGGAATCACATCTCAATACAATGAGTTTATACTTTTAAATATCTGTCACCTGAATTAGAATACATGTGGTCAAAAGTACACCCACTTTTTGACAGGATTTCCCTGATCTCCTCTGCCATCTGGTTGTTAGTGGCTGACAGCAGTTCATACTTGCCATCTCCACTGGAAGATTCATCTCCACCATTGTCTGCAGATTTCTTAGTGGGATACAGGAAGTAACTGGAAATAAGTGGAGTAATAAACTTTTTGTCACATGAAATGTGCCCAGGTGGTAATATTATAGTTCTTTGGTTAAAGTGAATACCTACAGATGATCATACTGCATATAATAAAACATTAAATTCAAAGATACTTTAAGTATTAATTGTACGACTATTATGTAGTTCTTGGATAGGAAAGTGGAAAAGTAAAAGACAGTAGCTATAAAAAGACAAATGTTATTTAAATAACAATATGATGTACAATAAAATATTAAATAAATATACTGCAATAAAGTGAAAGATTGTGTTTTTAATGTGTTAAACATTGCAAAGCAAACACAGCTGCAATGATGCTTGAATGTTGAACTTGCCTGTCCTGACAGTGGCTGGCAATGACAGCGAGCTTGTTCGATCTGGTCATTGCCAGGTGTGAGTTACCCAACACCATCACTGCATCCAGACACTTGGCCAGAGTGAACTGGACAGACATACAAGAGAAGCAGAAAGAAACCATCAACATCCAAAGAGGAAAAATAAAAGAGAGAGTCAGTGATCAGCAGTACCTCGGGCTCACGGTGAGCTTGTTGGCCCCACCATATGGGATTTACATCCACGACGATGACCAGGAGACTGACATCGGTATCTGTAGTGGTGGGTGGAAATATTATGCATTAAAACAACCAAATGAAAAAATAAAACACAACAAAGTCAAACAAAGAATTCACCATACCTGAAGCCATGATCGCAGCAGGAAAAAACTTTCCGAAACAAGACCCGCTTATTCCTCCTCCTCTAGATATCTTCTTAGTATCTTCTGTAAAGGTCCACATTTCATCCTAATATTCACATTTTAACATAATTATTTCACACTGTTGCAATGAACACCACACATTACCTCGTAACACGCCACATCACTTCTTTGAAGACAGCCTTAAAAGTACACACTTCATCTACCGTTATTGGCGGTTGACACGACACCGTATCACAACATTGCCGCCGCCTGTTGGTAAGAGTGGTCTCTTACAGCGACAGTCAAGGACATAAATATTGTTTTTATTTGCAAATTTTTTGAGATTTTTAAATCTTAGATTCTTGAATAATTATTTCTTTTTTACTCCTAATATTAATAAAGTACTAAACTAAACGAAATTGAAATTATATTACTTGCTTGACAAAATGTAGGTTTAGTGTTTCTGAAGCATCTTGGTAGCTAATCAATCATCGTTAAGCACATCTTGTACTTTTAATTAAATAATTATTTTGAATGTTTTGCTTTTAAGCCCTCCTAGTTTTGTCCTGGACTTTGATTCTAACCCCAGTTCTTTAGACAGTGGTGGTGGCGGCTCAGGGGCTAAGGCTTGGGTCTGGAAGGCTTCAGGTTTGAGTCCACCAGCTGCCAAGTTGCCACTGAGGTGCTCTGAGCATGGCAGCATGGCTTGGTTTGTCTAGTCATATAAATGCCTCATCCTGTTTATTCCCTTTCTTCCTTTTAGTCAATGCACAACAACTCTTCTATAGATTTTTTTTAATGTAAACATGCAGAAATAGGCAAAAAGGATCTCAATCTAGTAAAAATAAATGACTAAATCAAACAAAAAGAAATATCAGGTTTTTAATAAACATTTCTGAAACATGCATTGTATATAAACACAAAATTTGTACAGATATTATTTACAGATATTCTCAAAAGTTTGCTATTGTCCTTTAAACCAACCATCTTCAAAAACCACATTGAAACAAATATCTCCTGAAGATTCTCCTGAGTAAACCTCACCACACGAGCATGGACACATGTACATGGACACATCTACAGGGAGTCCTTTTTGCTTGATAGTCAAAGAAGCCTTCAGTCAGGGGCTATGTCTTTCGTTTGTTATTTGGCTAGGCGATGGAATAGACGTCCTGTACTTCTCAGTCTGGTAAACATCAGATTCAATGGGCTCAGTGGAGTCATTAAGTGTTACATAAACATTGTCATTCAGTTCTGTGACTTTGTGAATTCTCTGTTTGACTCCCTTTGAACGCCAATGTGTTCTCAGTGGTTTGACAGTAGGGTTGTCCACAGCTTGGTAAAGCCCCTCCCCTTCTGCCAGTGTGATCTTGTACTTGTGCCATGGACACACGATGCACTGCTGCCCATTAAATTCCTAAGGTTTAAGGAGAAGAACAGACAATGTAATTCAGGTTACTACATGATGGTTGTTTTTTGAAAGCATTAGAGCTAGGGTGTGTTTTTTTATATAGTTTTAGATATTTTACAGTTAGACACAATATTTAACATAACATAAAATCAATGCAAATGCAATACACATATATTTTACATCACCCATGTGTTACCTAATGCTTAGCATTTGTCTTTATTATTTTAATATTTCTTTTATACTGTAGATTACTGACCTCAATATCTCCATGTAGTAATGAACCACCAGCATCTGTTTAAAACATTTTTGTTAACATTGAAACATTTAATATTCAAACCTTTACGCATTACAAAATGTACATATATCTACACAAAACCTACGGTAGCAACGCATGTCCATGGCATGATACCGCCCCTGGTGAAACAGTACAAGAACATCTCTGCATCCATTTACCAGCTTGGTAACATGTCCTGCTTTGGCAATGTCCTCTTTCTTCCCAATTAAGTGTGCAACTTGAGGAGGTGTAGAAGGGGAGGAAGGGGGCGACAAAGAGTGGGAAGATGCAGATGGCGATACCTCCTCCGCAGAAGACATGATTTCCACCTATGACATATTTTCTGTGATTTATTTTAAAATAACTTCAGAATATATTTCACAGATTGACTTTGTACATAATACATGTAACCCTGGTAAACTAAACTATTATCAAATAATGTTTAATAAAATTAGTTGGTGCATTGCAGTAAAGAGATGGTAACTCTGGCTGCATATGTCAGCGCTCAATTAAACATTTTAACAACTGCAAACCAACAATGACAAATGAAGAGCCTGAATTAAGACGAATGCTTAAACTAACTTGACCACATGCTTGAACTAGTGTGGGTAGGTCTTTAGCCGTTGTTGCAGCTATTCAGTTCTTGGCATCGTGTGAATGATCCTGGAATTGATCTTTAATGGATTATCTCATTCAGGTATGCTGTACTCTATCAACCACTAAATACACCTTCCGCATTACCATTAATGTACTAGGATAGCGTATGCCTACGAAATAATCTGGGACGGTTCAGTATACTTATAATTAATATATTTAGTAGTACAAGTACCCGTGGATTTATTGCACTTACACAGCCTATAAGTCAAAGCTCGTATATTAGAAGCATAGCAAAGTTCAATGTTTCCTCTAATATTAATTTATTATATATAATTTTCATCCATATAATATTAGTTAATTTTACGTGCTTTAATATTAAATACCCACCTCGGTGACACTCCTTTGTTAGTTTGTTTAATTATTTGCGCGGTGCTGGAGGGCTTTGATGTCCCTTCCCGCTTCCCGTAAAACGTCTTCTTCTACATCACATTGTGGAGATTGGGTTAGCAGCCTAACGGTGCATTACCGCCACCCTGTGGGGAAGCACAATTATATTATATTGAATGGTACTTGATAAACATACATGAAGCGCTGACCCTCGAATATGTATCAGCAGTTATAACAAAACATTTCTTAAACTTCGCAATATAAAAGACAGCATTTGTTGTCATGGTGACAACACGGCTAACAATTGTCTAAGGTGTCCGTCCTTGCTCTGTTAAAGTTTGAAGGTACAGTCAGTATGGTTTAAGAAGAACTTGTGGTCAAGTTACATCATGTGGTTCACCTCACAAATTTGTAAGATTACTATTCATATCCCATATAATCTTTTCTATTTAGTTCTAGTAAAATAGAAAACAAGTGCAATTTTCTTAATATTCTTATCAAGTCCCAGCTGAGTTGTTTTGATTCTATTTCAAGTGACCGCTCAAAACGTTTAAATACCTTCAATTTTTTTTTAAAATAAATTGTTTTTGTGTAGGCCGAATAATTGGGCCGTGTATTAAGGTTTTATCTCAGTTTCAGGTTTTTCCTCCCCAAACTATCGTGGTTGTTATGGAGACCTCATGTGTACGGAAATAGTGACACTGCTCCAGCAGTGAGCAGTCCCATGGATGAAAAATTCATGCACACAAGATAACGCTACAAAGAGTCTATAAAGATGAACTGTGGCTTAAAGTCTGTCTGAAGTTTCTGAGGTGAGTTGTTCTGCATTCTTGATGTTACAAAAACCGTGAGTCATTTTTAAAAGTCATTTCACTTTAATTCAATTTCTTTTTTGGCTGTATAATATGTATGTACTGAATGTATGCATTCATTATTATTTATGTATCCATGTCATACATATATATTAACCAGCCACTAGGGTACACAAATCAGTGTTTTATAGTGCCGGTCCCAAGCCCGGATAAATGGTGAGGGTTGCGTCAGAAAGGGCATCCGGTGTAAAACCTTTGCCAAATCAAAGAATGCAAATCAAAACGTTTTCCATACTGGATCGGTCGGGGCCCGGGTCAAAAACGACTGCCAACAATGCTGTTGACTTACAGGGCACTAAATTGGTACTGCTACTCTTGGTCAAAGACAGAGAAGAAGAGAAGGGCGTTTGGTTAGGAGAAAAAGAGAACAGAGGAAGAATAGAAGTGTTGCTCTGAAGTTTGGAACTCTGAATGTAGGTACAATGACAGAGAAAAGTAGAGAACTAGCTGATGTGATGGAGAGAAGAAGAGTAGACATTTTGTGTGTACAGGAGACCAGGTGGAAGGGCAGCAAGGCTAGAAACATTGGTGGAGGCTACAAACTGTTTTATCATGGTTCAGATGGGAAGAGAATTGAAGTAGGGGTGATCCTAAAGGAAGAACATGTAAGAAATGTGGTAGAGGTGAAACGAGAGTCAGAGAGGTTGATGTGTGTGAAGGTAGAAATAGAAGGAGTGGTGATAAATTATGTCAGTGGTTATGCCCCACAGGTGGGCTGTGAGTTGGAAGAAAAGGAGAAGTTCTGGAAGGAGCTGGATTGGATGATAGAGAGTATCCCTACGGGAGAGAGAATGGTGATTGGAGCAGACCTTAATGGCCATGTAGCGGAAGGAAACAGAGGAGATGAGGAAGTGATAGGTAGGTTTGGTGTTAGGGAGAGAAACTTGGAAGGACAGGCAGTGGTAGATTTCGCGAAGAGAATGGAAATGGCTGTGGTAAACACCTATTTCCAAAAGAAAGAGGAACACAGGGTGATGTACAAGAGTGGAGGCAGGTCCACACAGATAGATTATATTCTATGTAGAAGAGGTGATCTGAGGGAGATTAATGACTGTAATTCAGGCGAGAGTGTAGCCAAACAACATCGGATGGTAGTGTGAAAAATGACGATGGAGGTGAAAAAAATAAAGAGAGTGAAGACAGAGCAGAAGATCAAATGGTGGAAACTAAGGAAAGAGACATGCTGTGAAGACTTCAGGAAGGAAGTAAGGGCAGTTCTGGGCCGTGTTGAGGAATTCCCAGATGATTGGGAGACTACAGCTGCAGTGATTAGGGAGACAGGTAGGAAGGTGCTAGACATGTCCTCTGGGCAGAGAAAGGAGGACAAAGAGACCTGGTGGTGGAATGATGAGATCCAGGAGAGTGTGCAGAGAAAGAGATTAGCGAAGAAGAGATGGGACAGTGACAGAACAGAAGAGAACAGACTGTAGTACAAAGAGAGGACAAGGTGAAGAGGGAAATGGCCAAGGCCAAACTAAAAAGGCATATGAGTTTTTTTTG